CGCCCGGGGCTTCTCGCCTCGCCTCGCGGCCGAGCTCTCGGTGAAGGTGGTTTGCTTGCAGGGTACGAGCAAAGGTGCTCGGTTCCGACACTGAGCATCACTGCATCCCCCGGAAGGGACGTGCCTTGCCGTTTGACAGTTTTCATTCACTTGGTTTCGAAAAAAACGGCCCCCAAGGCTGCCAGCGGGTCTTGAACACGGCAACTCGTGTCCACAACTTCTCTAAATCCACATGGAACTGGCCCCAGGTCCGGACTTTTCACCTGGCAAGTGTAACTGGCCAGATTTTGGTAACATTGGTTTTGTTTATATTGGGGTCATTTTCCATTTATGGTAGGAAATGTTGGTCCTGCAACCAAAAGCCCCCTTTAAAAATAAAACCAAGTAAAAATGAACTCGACTTAATGAAACATATTCATGGGTGACGACTCAGTTCTGACTCATAGGAACCCTATAGGACAACATAGAAATTTCCCAGGAAGGTTTCCCAGATGTAAATCTTTTTGGAAAATAGACCACCAAAGTAGTTCTACCGGTGAATTCCAATCTTCAATCTTTGGGTTAATAGCCAAATGCTTGGCCACCGGGGAACTTTCCTAATGAAAATTCATTAAATAATAATAATGTAGCTGGAGGAGCCCTAGTGGCATAGAGGTTAGGAGTTAGCCTGCGATCCAAGAGGTCACCAGATCAAAACCACCAGCCGCTCATTGGGAGAACGATGGGACTTTATATTCCCATAAACAGTTAACAGTTTTGGAAATTCACGCTATGAGTTAGTGTGATTCAATGACAGGTCCCCCCCCTTTGGAAAGTAGGCCCTTTTTGTTTATGGAACAAATGCTAAAGCCTGTGGGTGAACAACTAAATTGGGATTATTTTTCCCCCTTTTGCATTTGGATTCAGCAGGACTCTTCCAGCGGAAGAGAGTTGTCAATTTAAAGTTCTTTCTTCCAGGAATTCATGAGTTCTGACCTACATCTTGGGTACCATGCACTATACTAGTAAACTATAACCAACATGGTATAGTTGAATTATATACTGCATTATTTAAAGTTGGTTATAACAACTCAAGCAGTGGGCTTTTTTTTTACGTAAAAGAAAATATTAAAAAATTTTAATTGAGATGTAATTCACACATTGTACAATTCAATGGTTTAATCATATTTAAAAGAATTGTCTATCATCACCATAAGTTTAGAACATTTTCTTTCTTGTATTCATTATTATTAGTTCCCCATTTCCCTGTAACCACTCCTGCCATAAGCCTAAGAAACTGTTAATCCAGTTACTGCCTCCATAGCTTTACCTATCCAGGATTTCATCTGCAGATAAACAAAATCACCCAACATAACAAAGTAAAACAGAGAACCCCCCCAATCAAAAAGAAAGCAGAAAATATTAAACACTAGAACAAATTAAAGATTGTCAAAAGGGAGACCAAATGATATGGTATTAAATTTTAACCTAACTGCCAGCCACTCTGCAGGAGAAAGACAGGCCTTTCTATTCCCATGAATATGTGCCGTGTCAGAACCTCCGGGGCAGGTCTATTCTGCCCTGTATGGTCATTAGAGTTGTCCTCGACTTGGTGGCAGTGAGACATCTGCGTGCATCCACGTGTGGACCCTGCAAATGGATTTTGGCCTTCCACTGCCATTCACAGCCTTCTGCAAACTGGGGGCTCAGAATTGAAGCTCTAACCCCAGTTCACTCCTCCAGTCTTGGATTTTGTTATTTACAGTCACATCTGTGCTTCTTCTTTGTGACTTAGCTGTCACCTTATTTAGATGACCTTTTATCTGAAGACAAGCCATTGAGACCCCAGATTTCTGGTAGTTGGGGACCATCCAATTTCTTCACTACACTTTGCTGTAGCACCTGTATCCTTAGGATCTCTCATAAGAGCAACTATCGAATAGGGTCACCTTATAAGGACTATGTTGTTCTTAGATGAGGGCTATGATTAAGTGTGAACTAAAAATCCATTTATATATTTATGGTTTATATATGTCCCTGGTTCGCTTTAGTGACATTCTTAGCATTTTATTTGGGAACATTATAAATCATCCTGTGGGGCGTATGGTAATTCTATTGATATCATTAATTTAGCCAATGTTATAAAATTTAACATATCATTGAGAGAAGGAAAGTATACATGTTGAGTACAGAGTTTTAGGCTAACATCCATGGGTTGTTGACTTGTGCAGATTATAAGCTGAAATGACTGGACACAATGCAAACAAGGAAGGCTGCAGCTAGGGCAGAACTTATGACGCTTTCACAAAGGCAGAGAGCCCTGCTGCTGGACTAAGACATGCCAGAGAAAAGTCAGGAGTATGAAATAGAAAGTATGTAGTAGTTTTTCGTTGCTAATTTTTAGGCACCTTCAAAGAAATCTATTTGAACCAAAGTCCGATGACTTCCAACTCCATAACTTTGAGAAGTATTTATCTGACACAGAATTTTGAAACAACTGTGTACTTAGTGACCCCAAATAATTTTGTGTGTAGTTGATGTATTTTTGTTTATTTATCTTTAATTCTTTATTTGCCATGTTGTATTTTTGGGGTGTAATTGTCCTCACATGCCCCTCCTCCCATACTTTTTAAAGTTCCATTTGAGTTATGTGGGTGCTTAACTACCCACCAGTCAATTAATACCATTGTGCACAGAGTGAGAGATTTTTTTAAAACATTGAGTGAGAGATTTTTATTGGTCCGTTGTTTTGCCCCAAAGAAAGAAAAGTAGCCAACTGTATCTTCAACATGAGTGCTATTGGGGGACATCTTTTTTGGGAAATGTTTAAAATTGTCCACCTCCTTTGCTGTCAGTGATTGAAACGAAAACTATAGCAAATACAGTTTAACATGGAAAACTCATTTTGAAACTTGCTTTTATGAATTGTTTAGCATGAAAAAAGCAGTGTCATTAATAAATGCAATGGATATGGGAAGATTTCCACGACTGCTCACCCGGATTCTTCAAAAGCTTCACCTGAAGGTTAGTATCTGTGTACTTGTGTTGCTTGTAATGCTTTCTTCTGATTCCACTGAAACTCTTGGCTTCTTGTTGGGGAACATTTTGTGAAGTGCAAGACTCCCCAGTGTGTTCTCTGGACTATTTAGTCTATGGAAATGTAGTAAGGTTCTATGTCTACGGTCAGATGTTTGGGAAACTCTGCCTTAAGTAAAATATTAAGTGGAAAATTTCTGAGTATTTTACAGGCTAGTGTTGTAGTGGGAGTCATGTAGTAGGTCGAAATTATCGATCTGTCCTTGGGAGAATGGCGGGCTTTCTATTGCTGTAAACAGGTACAGTCTCGGACACTCACAGGGGCAGTTCTACCCTGTCCTATGGAGTCGCTATAAGTCGGCAATGACTTGACGGCAGTGAGTTTGTTTTTTGCTTAATGTTTCTAGTGAATGTCTTAGAGTGAATGTGGTGTGCAATATTTCTAAATGCATTTTCACCCTGGAATTTTGTCATGATATATATTTTGGAACTAATGTTTTATGAAACATGCTTTGGGAAAATTCTGATTTTTTTGTTTTATTTTTCATTTTAAGAGTGATTTTAAGATGATTCTGTGTATATATTATTCACCAATATTCATCGTTCACTTAATTTTGTTTCTTCTCCACGGTCATTTCAAAGGTGTGGCTGCTGTGGACTTTTCCTATTTAGTGATTCACTGGTCATCTACCCAACTTATTTTTTTCAGATTATAGAAATGTGATCCCACACACCCACCTGCTGCTCCTCTTGGTCCCAGGCATCACCTTATAACACAGCAGTTCTCAACCTGGGGGTCACTACTCCTTTGAGGGTTGAATGACCCTTTCAGAGGGGTTGCCTGATTCACAACAGTAGCAAAATGACAGTTATGAAGTAGCAACGAAAATAATTTCATGGTTGGCGGGTCACCACCATGTGAGGCACTGTATGGAAGGTTCGCGGCATGAGGAAGGTTGAGAACCACTGCTCTAACAAGAGTGGGGCTCTTATTCTTCCCTCGCCTTTTTCCTGGCCTAGGGCCAGTCTCATTGCTCTGCCATTTTTCTCTCTGAGGTGTCTCTTACATTTAAGTCCTAGTCACAGTCCTCGTGTAGATCTTCATTAGAGTTCCGTTGACCTACAATAATCACATACAAACCGGTATCTTGACCTACTGTCTTCTTCCTTCTATTGCTTCTTCATAATCCTATTCTGATTATCTTTCTAAATACTGTTAAATTTAAAAGTGGGGGGATTTGATCATATGGCCTCTATGATATTCAAAAACTGTTAGTGACTATCCATTTCCCTTCGGAGAAGAGATCAGTTATTTTGCATGTCTGTTTATTGTCAAATCCTTTTCAACTGACAGCAGCTCCACATGGCAGTAGAAGTGCCCCTTAAAGGCTGTCTTGGCTGTAAACTTCTATCCTGGAAGAAGTGCAACTAGGATCCTCCTTAGAAGTGACGGTGGCAAGACTTCGTTACAGTTTGGACATGTTATCAGGAATAGCAATACCATTATGCTTGGTAATGTACAAGGTCAGCAAAAAAGAAAAAGACCTGAAGGAGCCGGATGGCTGTATTGGCTGCAATAGGGGCTCAAACGTACATGTGATTATAAGGATGGTCAAGAGGGGGCAATAGTTTATTCAACATATGCTTTAGGGTCTAAACCAACTATGAGCCTGAACCAACGCAATGGCACCTACAGTCAACCAACAATGGCTTTCTGGGCCAGCTCTTTCTTCTATAGAGTAGTTGGGTGGTTGAGTGGGCTCAAACTGCCAACCTTTTGGCTATCAGTTGAAGTGCTTAACTATTTCATCACCAGGTCTCCTGATATGAAAGAACTTCCAAAAGTTTGGGAAAATCCCATTATTTTTAAAGTCCATTTTTTCCATGCACTTTTTGAAGCCCTCTCATTGTGTTTAATGCCCACTGTAGTATTATATTGTGTATACTGTCCACTCACAGGAGTCCTGGTTGGATTGAATTGCTAACCACAAGGTCAGTAGTTTGAACCCATCAACCACTCCATGGGAGAAAGACTTTGCTTTCTACTCTTGTAAAGAGTTATTGATTCAGAAACCCAAAGGGGCAGTTCTACCCTGCCCTATATGCTTGTTATGAGTCAGAATTGACTCAATGACAGTGAGTGTTTTTTATAGAAATCAGATTTTTTCCCATCCCAAAGAAAGGTGCCCAATGGAAGTGGAAATGGTTGAACGATATTATTACTATCACATGCAAATAAAATTTTGCTGAGACAATTAAAAAATGATTGGAGCAGTATGTTGACAGGGAACTCTCAGAAAATTAAAAAAAAATTTATATTGTCTTTTTTTTTAATTGAAGGTTCCTTGTTGGCCCAAACAAGTGGCTCTCTGTGACCAAGTGGGTGGGGGTGAACAGCCGGCACAGGGAGGGTCCTTTTAGTTTTCCCCTTGGACACAGTACTAAATGAATAAGCACAGACTCACTACTGCAGTTAGAAGTTGGAAGCCTGGAAAAGGGTGAGGGGAGTGGTTATTTAAAAAAAATGCAGCTCCCCGCCCCAACTGTGGTGCCTGGCGTGGGAGGTACTCCCAGAAATTTAAATTGGTTATTGCTTATGTCAGATGGATTGTGGCTGAAAGCAGAGAATACTGGATGTTTACTTGTGTTTCATTGACACTCCAAAGGCATTCCACTATGTGGATCATAACAAACCGTGGGTAGCCCTGAGATGAATGAGAATTCCAGAACACCTCATTGTGCTCAAGTGAAACCTATAATGCATCAAGAGGCAGTTGTGTGATCAGAACAAGAGAATACTGAATGGTTTAAAATCGGGGAATGTGTGTGACAGGGTTGTATCCTCTCACCCTATTTATTCAATCTATGTGCTGAGCAAATAATCAGAGAAGCTGGATTATATGAAGAAGAATGCGGCATCAGGATTGGAAGAAGTTTTATTAACAAAAAGTAATAAGCAGGTGACACAACCTTGCTTGCTGAAAGTGAGGAGGACTTGAAGCACTTGCTGATGAAGATCTAAGAATGCAGCTTTCAGTATGGCTTACAACTCAATGTAAAGAAAACCCAAATCCTCAAACTGACCGATAGACACCATCGTGATAAATAGAGAAAACCATCCAGGATTTCATTTTGCCTGGATCTACAATCAGTGCTCATGAAGCAACAGGCAAGTAATCAAATGACACATTGTACTGGGCAAGGCTGCTGCACAAGGCCTCTTTAAAGTGTTGAAGGGCAAGGGGACAAAGGTACACCCGACCCAAGCCATAGTATTTTTAGTAGTCTCAGATGCAACGCAACAAATAAGGAAAACTGAAGAGTAATTGATGTGTTCGAATTGCTGTTAGCCAACAATATTGAAAGTACTGTGGACTGCCAGAAAAACAAGCAACTATGTCTTAGAAAAAGTACAGACAGAACTTTCTTTATAAGCAATGATGGTGAGACTTCATCTCATGTACTGTGGACACGGTGTCAGGATATACCAGTTCCTGGAAAAGGACATCACACTTGGTAAAAGTCAGCTACAAAGATGCAGGCACACAAGGGACTGGATTGACACAGTGACTGCAGTTCATTAAAAACTCACTATCATTGAATTGATTTTGATTTATAGCAACCCTATCAGATAGATTAGAACTACCTCTGTGGGTTTCCCGGGCTTTAACTCTTTCCAGTAATAGAAAGCCTCTCTTTCTCTCAGTGAGTAACTGGTTGCTTCAAACTGCTGACCTTGTAGTTAACAGCCTGATGTGTAACCATGGTGCAACCAGGGCACCGTACACCATGATTGGTAAATATCACTATTTTTTAGTAAATGGTGTGGTTTTCACAGAAATTCTGAGACTCTTTAGATCAGTGGTTCTCAACCTTCCTAATACTGTGACCCTTTAATACAGTTCCTCATGTTGTGCTGAGCCCCCCAACCATAAAATTATTTTCGTTGCTACTTCATAACTGTAATTTTGCTACTGTTATGAATTAGGTGACCCCTGTGAAAGAGTCGTTCGACCCTCAAAGGGATCGCGACCCACAGGTTGAGAACTGCTGCATTAGATGCTCTTGAGTTAAGCAAATGGCATTTGGGCTTACTTAGAAGTTGGGCTCCTGACTTTCTCAGAGGAAATAGTAAGTGAGATCAATAGTATTGGCATCCAGCCGCAACAGAACCAAAACCGTGCTAGCTTTGAGTTTACTGGCCCTTCACTTGAGCCCCAGTGCAGTTGTACATGATTCTAAGCTATCAACGTAGAGCGCTTGGAGTTTCTTACGCTGCTGTGTCCAGCTGTGAAGGAAGAGGTCGAAGGAGGCAAAGTTTGAGTATGTGTACATAGAGTATGTGTTCTTTATTTAAACATTCTTCATACTTGGTAAATATCATGAAATCAAACGGAGTCTAATGGAGATGAAAAAGGGTCTAATTGACATTTATACTCAGACGACTACATGTCCTCCTTCTCTCCTATTTGGCTCATACAAGTAATATATGTGAGCTTAATGTGTACATTTTAGAAATACTAGCTTTAAAATGTTATATGAAATTATAAAATTATTAGTTGCTTGTTCATGTAACTAGTTCTACTTTGAAGACCTTAGTTATACATAAACAAAAATATGTGGCAATTATTTGAATAATTATGTTTTCATGTATCCTTCCGATTAGACTCTAAGATCACTGAGGACATGAACTGTCCATGTATAACAGAATAAGTAGTTTTAAATTAATGAAGATAGAATTTATTGTTAATCACAACATTTTCGAGTTTTCTTGTATTTTTGTTTTTTGTGTGTTCATTTGTTAGCGTGTTTATACCTTTTTTCTCTTACTATAAATCGAAATGTAAAATATTGTTATTTGAAATGAACTTTATTCGACAAGTCTCCAAAATTGACCTGTGCAAGGACTTTCTGATCACCACTTGTCTGTCAGTTTGTTGTACTGTGGTGGCTTGTTGCTGTGATATTGGAAGCTATGTCACTGGTGTTTAATAGGCTAGCAGAGGCACCCAAAGAGAACAGACAGCAAAGGACCTGGCTTTCCATTTTGGAGGAAGGAGCTACTGAAAACGTTATGCATTAACTGAAGGCCCAATGAATGGAAGCAGGACATTGTCAGAGGTTGTGCAGCAGGATGGGCCCCGCAGGTCCTCGAGCACTTGAGGTGTAACTGCGGAGGAGCTCCTTTCTTATAGTGTAGTCAACCAGGCCACACGAATGGAGCCAAGCCTGTGGGAATGGTGCTTTCAGGGTCTTCATTTGCTGATGGGGCACAACTCAAGGTAACACAAAGCAGCAGCAAAAATCTGCTAATGCTCCAAACTTGGGATGTGTGAAATATCAATATAGGAAAATTGGAAGTTGTCAAAAGTGGCAATTTTGGAACGCATACAGATTGATATCCAAGGCATTAGTGAGCTGAAATGGAATGATCATTTTGAGGCAGAAAATCATTTACTGTTTACTATCATTGACTGTGCTGGGAATCACACAATCAAAGGAATGTCAAAAAGACATTGCAAAATCAATCTTGAAATATGGTGCTGTCTGTGGTAGGATTATATCTATTTGCCTTCAAGGAAATCCAATCAATGTAACTATTCTTTAAATATATGCACCAGCCACAGTAAAAGTTAGTGAAGAAGAAATCGAAAAATTCTACCAATGTCTTCATGAGAAACATTCAGTCAAGATGCATTGATAATTCTTGCCTATTGGAATGCAAAAGTTGGAAACAATGAGTAAAGAACAGTAGTTAGAACATAGGGAGTTGGTAAAAGATACAAAGCTGGAGATTGCGTGATAGAATTCATAGCAAACATCTTTTATCAACCAAAATAGTGACTATATCCATGTGGACTTCTCCAGATGGAATACAGAGAAATTAAATTGACTCCATCCGTGGGAAGAGATGTTGTAGGAGTCCTATATCGTTAGCTAAAACCAGGCCAGGGGTTGACTAGAACTGACCATCAAGTGCTTATATGTAAGTTTAGGGTAAAGCTGAAAAAAATGAAAACAAGTTCACTAGAGGCAAAATACAACCTTTTGTCTATCCCACCCGAATTTCGAAAACATCTCAAAAACAGATTTGATGCATTGCACACTAATTAAGAGGCCTGATGAACTGTGGGAAGACATCAAGATCATCATTCCTGAAGAAAGTAAAAGGTCATTAAAAAGACAAGTAAGAAAGATAGGCTCAAAGTCGATATCAGAAGAGACTCTGAAACTTGCTCTTAATCAAAGAGTTGCAAAGGCAAATTGAAGAAATGATCAAGTCAAAAAGCTGAATAGAAAATTTCAAAGGGCAGCTCAAGAAGACAAAGTCAAATATTATAATGAGATGTTCAAAGACCTAGAATTAGAAAACCAAAAAGGAAGAGCATGCTCAGCATGTCATAACTAAAAGAACGCAAGGAAAAATTCAAGCCTTGAGTTGTAATATTGAACGTTTCGGGGAAGAAATGAATGAGGTAGAAGCTATCAAAAGAATATGGAAAGACTATGGAATCCCTGTACCATAAAGAACTGGTCGCCGTTCCATTTCAGGAGTTAGCATATGAGCAAGAACCAATTGGTACTGAAGGAAGAAGTTCAAGCTGCACTGAAAGCATTAGCCAAAAACAAGGCTCCAGGAATTCATGGAGTACCAATTGGAATGTTTTAACCAGCTGATGAAGCACTGGAAGCACTCACTCATCTGTGCCAGGCAATTTGGAAGACAGCTTCTTGGCCAACTGACTAGAAGAGATCCATAGTTGTACCCATTCCAAAGAAAGGTGACCCAACAGAATGCTCAATTTATACAACAATATCATTGAGATCAGATTCAAGGGAAATTTTACTGAAGAGCATCTAACAATGGTTGCAGTAGTGTATTGACAAGGTGCTTCCAGATATTCAGGCCAGATTCAGAAGAGGATGTGCAACAAGGGATACTATTGCTGAAGTCATATGGATCTTGGCTGAAAGCAAATATTACCTAAAAGATTTTTACTGTGTTTTATTCACTATGCCAAGGTATGCGACTGTGTGGATCATAACAAACTATGGAAATCTTAAGAAGAATGGGAATCCCAGAACACTACATTGTGTTCATGTGGAATCTATTCATGGATCAAGAAGCAGTTGTTCGAACAGATCAAGGAAATATTGCATGGTTTAAAATCAGGAAAGGTGTGCATCAGGGTCGTAACCTTTGACCATACTTGTTCAATCTCTATGGTGAGCAAATCACAAGAGAACTGGATTATATGCAGAAGAATGTGGCATCAAGATTGGAGGAAGTTTTATTAAGAACCTGCAAGATACAGATGACAGAACCTTGCTGGCTGAAAGTGTGAGCAGGACTCGAAGGACTTGCTGATGAAGATCAAGAATTGCAGCCTTCAGTACGGATTAAAATTCAATGAAAAGAAGACCAAAATTCTTACAGGTGGACCAATAGGTAACATCATGAAAAGTGGAGAGAAGTTTGAAGTTGCCAAGGATTTTGTCTTGCTTGGATCCACAATTAACATGAGACCAAAAGACATGTTGCATTGGATAAATCTGCTGCACAAGACCTCTTTAGAGTCTTGGAACTCAAGGAGGCTACTTTGAGGACTAAGATGCACCTGACCTAAGCCATGGTATTTTGAAGTGCCTAATGTGCGTGTGAAAGTTGGACATTGAACAAGGAAGAATGAAGAAGAACCGTTGCATTTGATTTGTGGAGCTGATGAGGAACATTGAAGTTACCATGGACTGCTTAAAGAATAAACTGGGATTTGTAAGAAATAGTGCCCATGTGTTCCTTAGAGGCAAAGATGGCAAAACTTCATCTTACATACTTTGGACATATTGTCAGAAGAGACCAGTCCCTGGAGAAGAAGAAGGACATCATGTTAGGCAAAGTGGAGGGGTAGTGAAAAAGAGAAAGGCCATGGACGAGATGGATTGATTGACACAGTGTCTGCAATGATGGGCTCAGGCCTAGAAACAATTGCGATGAAGGGGAGGGACCAGACAGTGTTTGCCCTGTGGTAGGTAGGGTTGCTGTGGTAGGTAGGGTTGCTATGAGCCAAAACTTATTTGATGGCACCTAACAACAACAAAAGGACTTTCTGACAATGAGATTTATAAGATTCATCCGTTTTTTCTTTCTCCAGGGTCAACACACTCTTTGAACTCTCATTGAGATAATCAATGAATCTTTTGTTGAGTGTCTGAGTTTTGAATATTTGAGTATATGTTTATAGATGTCTGTTTACATTGTAGACTGAGAGCAGTTTCAGTGAAGAAGAAGAAGAAAAGCTGCAAGCCGCATTTTCTCTAGAGAAACAAGATCTTCACCTAGTCCTTGAAACAATATCATTCATTTTAGAACAGGTATTTTTATTGCTCTAACTTTTCCAACTGTGTTTGTTTACTACATACTTGTATTACTATATCTATCACTGTCCATTTTGTAGAAGAGAGGTACAGCATGGGGATTTTGACTATATTTTAGCCAAGGATTTTAGTTCAGTTAAATATTTGAATGTACTCATGATTGTACACCTCTGCATGATACAAATGATCCTTGATGATGCAAATAGGTAAACAATTGGCTGCTAACTTGAAGTTTCTTATTTGAATCCACCTAGCTGCTCCTTGGGAGAAACCATCTGATTTACTTCTGAGAGAGCTTCAAAAAGTTCATGAATAAATGGAATGAAAATATCACGGAAATTTTCCACAAACTTTTTAAAGCCTATGTATGTGTGAAACAGAAGTGCAAATAATGCTGTAGTTTGATGAACATTCTAGGTGACTATTTAATAGGAGGACAGGGCACCTACTACATACACTGTAAGCAGATTACAGATCTCTAAGGTGGCTGTAGTTCTTACTGTTGTTCCTTTAAAGGAAGAAAGGATCATTGACTAGGACAGGGTGAAAGTTTTTCTGGAAGCTTATCCTAAACACAACTTCAAGTATCACTGCTAAAAATATAAATTTTTAAGTAACATATCACTCAGGGAGAAAAATAGGTAGTAATCTATTAGGAACTCGGTAGATGAAAGTTGTTTCAAAAAGTATTACCTAAAAAAGTATTGTTAATCGAGATAAAATAAACAATACCAAAAAATCACTGTACATTTCCGTGAAATGTTAATTTTAATTAGTGTGCAATTAACACAGCCAAAGCAAAAGAGCTTTTCAATTGTCAAGTAGATTAAGGATTACAGAGATCTCAGACAAAAATGGGAAAAATTAATGTTAATTTTTTGTAATTATTGTGAATAATTCATAGAATCTGGAATCTTTCAGATCTTGGTTACCTGTGAGGGAACTTCAAAAAAGTTTTTAGAAAAGGGGAATTAAAATTAATGTATTTTTTACTTGTAAATTTTGAAGCTTCTTTATATGTAAAAAAAAATTCTGCAATAGAAGTATGAAAGTCTCGATTTTAATCGTTTAAATATTTTGATATTTGATTACAGTTCTAAGTTTGTACACATTAGGGCTTCTAATTGCATGTTAGGGGTATATGTATTTTTTCCTTTGTTTAATAGGCAGTGTATCACAGTGTGAAACCAGCGACTTTGCGGCAGCAACTAGAGAACATTCATCTTAGGCAAGACCGAGCTGAAGCGTTTGTCAGTACTTGGTCTACGATGGGTCAAGAAGCAGTGGAAAAGTTCAGACAGAGGATTCTGGCCCCTCACAAGGTATAGAATATACTACTATAAAGGTATTTTCCAATAACATGAGATAAATTGTTATAGCTGAATAGTTTTTAAAGTGACAATATTTTGTTGAGAGGTAGAGTCGCAGTAAAGGAAGTCTATATTGCAATATATGGCAGTGGTTCTCAACCTTCCTAATGCTGTGACCCTTTAATACAGTTCCTCATGTTGGGTGACCCCCTATGTGGGCATATCTGCATGTGGGTGGACCCACCTGGAGATAGATAGAGGAGCAGTGTCTCCGTTCCTAAGACCATCGGAAATATGGTCTTAGGTGACCCCTGTGAAAGGTTCCCTCGACTCCCCCAAAGGGGTCACGACCCCCAGGTTGAGAACCGTTGCTATATGGTTCTCATACGTGGACTATTAAATTTCTACCTTTGACTGTTATGAAGAATCTGGCTGTGAGCATTTGCACCTTTGTTTGAATACCTTTTAAAAATGTATTGTTATATTTCTAGGCATGGAGTTGTTAGGCCATATGCTAATTCTACGGATCCCTGGCCTAATGGTGTAGGGGTTATTTGTTTGGCTGCTAACTACTAGGTCAGCTGTCTGAAAACAGCAACTGCTGTTTTCCCAAAAGCCCAGGAGGAAGACTGGGCTTTCTGTGCCTGTAAAGAGTTAATAGTCTCAGAACCCCACTGGGGCAGTTCTACTTTATCCTATATGGTGATTATGAGGTGGCATTGACTCACTGGTTATGCTGATCCTCCGTTTAGCTTTTGAAGAACCACTAAACTATATCCCACAACAGCTGCATCATTTTACATTCCTGCTAGCATTGGATAAGGCTTCAGTTTCCCCACATCTTTGCCACCACTTGCTATTTTGCCTTTTGATTATGCCCATTCTACTTGGTGTGATTTATGGATTTAACTTGCTGTGATGCAGTGGAATTACTTGGAATGATTCTTCTATTCATATCTTTGTAACCCCCACCAAATGATTGGGTGGACCATTCAAATAGAATGTGTGAAATACTAATAGAGGGGATTATAGTGACTATAATATACAGCCACTATCTTCTTATATATAAGAATGAGGCATTGCAGAAGCAGAAGGAGAGAATCCTGGGACCATCAAGAAAGAACAGCCATAAGCAGAGCAAGTGAGAGATCCCTGTCTGACATAGCAGAGGCAGCAGCCATTGAGGCATGGGGACCGTGAGACAGAGCAAAGGAACCATGCCAAGACAGCAGGGGAGTGGCGCCAAAGCAGTGAGGCAGAGCATCTGGTGGGCTTTCTGGTCTACAGAGGCAGAGGCCAAGGGTCTGTGTGATTGAGAAGCTGAGGACCAACGAGAGACTTGGCTGTTGGCTAAAAAGCGGTGCTGCTGTGTACCAAAGACTGTATCTTTAATCCCTTCTGAGCCTGCTTTGTGGTATGGGAACCTGTTAACTTTCCTAATAACTTCCATACTTGTGAGTATTGTCTGTGAGTTTTGTGTGGCCTTTGCAATGGATTATTGAACCTGGTAGAGAAGTAGTGCACGGAAGGAATGGTTGGTATAAAAAAGGTAAAAGAAGGGTGGAGGTATGTTTGACTTGTGCCTTGTGGCCATTGGCCTTGGGCTATTGTGGAACTGGATTCTCCTCCTTTGTGTAGCCTGAGGGAAGATGTGGCTTCCATGCTGTTTTCTCACTTTCATTCTTTAAAGTGATTTTGTATCTCTTCATGTACATGCTGGCCATTTTTGGACAAATACCTGTTCAGACTCTTTTCCCATTTTCAGATTGGGTTGTAAGAGTTCTTTATTTGCTGAGTTCCAAGGGTTCTTTATGTATGTATTTTGAATACTCGATCCTTATCAAATATGTGATTTGCAAATATTTTCTCCCATTCTGTGAACTTTCTTTTGACTTTGAAGCACAAAAGTTTTAAATTTTGATGAAGTCTAATTTACCTAGCTTTTCTTTGGTTGGTTTTGGTTTTGGTGTCATGTCTGAGAAGGGTTTGCTTAACCCAAAGTCACAATGGCTTTCCTCATATATTGTCTTTCTAAGTTTCATAATTTTGACTTTTAGATTTCTAATTGTTCGAGTTAAATTTTGTTATGTTTATTGAGTTTGCAATTCATCTGTTGTGGAAGCTTTCCATCTCTGGGACCTGTGGCACTAGGGTTTGCAGCAGAAATGCTTTCTTGTATTTATTCTTTTGTTGGATCTCTCAGGGTAGAGATATACTTCGGTCCTTGGCTCCATACGAGAAGCAATTCACACCAAAGCCTGGTTTGTGATCCCAGTGAGTTTTATGAGTTAGAAGAAGGTTCAGGTTTACACAGCCACCCGCAGGGCCCCTCACCCCGTGCAGCCGCCCTAGAAGCTGCTCGGAAGTCATGCGGTCAGCTCTAGGCTCCTGCTCCAGGCTCCTGCCTTTTCAATTGTTCCGCAGGGAGGCGTGGTGGACGACCCTGGTTGACCCCATTGGCTGAATTGAATTTACCTGGCCTCGGTGGGCCAATCCAGGTGCAGCCCCCACCCAGCTGTACCTCCACTTCTTGGCTGGAAACCTGAACCTCTGAGCATGCACAGTGTATGGTAATGGACCATACACTCCTTCATGGACTGGGCTGGAAACCTGAACCTCTGAGCATGCACAGTGTATGGCAATGGACCATACACTCCTTCATGGACCGGGCATGGATAATAGACGCCCCAGTCCCTAAGCTAAACTACCTAACATTCCCCTCTGAAGAAATATAGACCCAAAACTTTGGGTACTGGGCGACGACATTTCTAGCTACTTCCTGCTGACACAAGGGGCGAAGTGGGGCTTTGGGTCCATACCCTTCCTACTCTGTTGGAAGGATTTGTCCATTCAGGGCCCAGGATGGATACGGTTGAGGTGGGTTTAGGAGACGGTGGTCCTGGAGCTGGCACACTTGGTTCAGAGGCCTTGGTAACCTGATAAATTCTGGAAAAACAAACAAACAGACAAACAGGTGAACAGTTTAAGTGAGACAATGGTAAGCTTGTGGGGTGGCATTGCCCAAAAGTTAGGTTAGTGTCACAGGAAATAAATAAAAATCTTAGGACTAACAGGTATGAGTGTTGGTTTACTGTAAACACAGGAATGGAGTAAAAGCATTCACAATTTCCCCTAGGAGGGTACAGGGTTTGGCATTGCTGGGTGCAGTGGGATCACTGCTTCATTTATTATCCTGAGGTCTTCGACCAGCCAATGAGACTCATCTTTCTTTTCAACTGGTAATATTGGGGTATTACAGGGGGAGTTAACAGGGACCAAAAGTCTATGTTGGAGGAACTTACTAATAAGGGGTTGTAATCCTTTGATGGCTTCAGGTTTCAAAGGATACTGTTGCTGATGGGGAAACTGGGTAGGATCTTTTAGGAAAATCTTTACAGGAGGAGCCTACTTAGCTTTGCCAGGGACCCTTGTGTCCCAAACTTCAGGGGTTATGGGCTTGTTCCCATGTTTCCTGTGGGGGAATCCGTGGCTCCTCCACTGTGAGGAACATTCGGAAAGCTGTAGAGGACCAGGATGAGGCCCGATGACTATGCAGGTGTGTAGCTTGGACAGTATCTCTCGGCCTAGGAGAGGAGTTGGACATTCAGGGATAACTAGGAAGCTATGAGAAAAATAGAAGTTATTCCAGAGGCACCTGAGAGGTTCAGTAAAATGTTTAACTATAGGTTTTCCTGATACACCCAGGATGGAGCAGGTGCAGGGTGCCAGGAATCCGGGTAAGGAAATAAGGACAGAATAGGTGGCCCCAGTATCTAAAAGGAAATTTACTGACCTACCTGTCACATCGATGCTCACCCTAGGCTCCAGACCAGTAACAGCTATCTCTTGTTGCTCTGCTATCTGGACTGGGTGCCTTCAATCCTCCTCCTCCATTATCAGCTGCACATTGGCCTGTGGGCCCCCTCCTCCAGGTTTTTGGCCTTAGGACAGGGGCCAGCCCAGAGGCCAGTCTGCTTGCAATGGAAACATGGCGTCCGAGGAGGCTTGTTCTGGTTAGGGCAGTTCCTAGCCCAATGACCCGGTCGCCGGAAAATGTAGAACTTGGTACCTGGTTCAAAGGTCTGAGAAACCTGAGAGGCATTCGGTGGGCGTCGGTTATTAAGTGCAGCCAATACCTGGGCATGCCAGATGTCCTTCCTTCTCTCCTTCTCCCGGGCTCGAGCCTCCCCTTCTGCTCCCTATTGTAAACGGCCGTATTAGCACAGCAACCATCTCCTCGAGGGTAGCTCCTTCAGGCTTCCGCACTAGTTTTTGTAGCTTCTTGCGAATGTCTGGTGCAGCCTGTGTGAGAAACTTGTCGCTGATTAAGACTTGCCCCTTATAGGATTCTATATCTACAGCAGTTTGATTCTTCAGGGCCTCCTTTAGCCTCTCTAGAAAGCTTACAGGAGACTCCGCAGGTCCCTGGTGAATCGCTGTCATTTTGGAAAAATTAATGTCCTTTTGCATACCTGACTTTAGTCCATTTGTGATGCACACCAGGAAATGTTCCCGTGCCCACTTGTCCTGAGGCGCACTATGATTCCAATCAGGGTCTATTAAAGGTACAGCCGTTTCCCCTACAGGGTAATTTTCATTCATCAAATGTAACTCCTCTGCAAACTTCCTAGCACCTTTGAGCACTCATTCTTTCTCAAAGTCTGTCATAGTCTGTCCCAGCATGACCATTACATCTTTCCAAAGGCTAGGGTGAGGTGCTGGAAGTGTTCTATGTACTGTTCGGGTTTGTTTGAGTAACTGCCCAAGTCATTTTTAATTTGCTTTAGTTCAATTTGAATAAAAGGCTTGTAAATTGCCTGGGGACCAAATTCCCCTGCTGCCTCTACTATGGGTAGAATGTTCAAGACTGTTTCAGGGCTGGGGGAATAGTTGCCCTAAGTCCAGGGTCCCTTAGGGGGTCCTGGGTGCACTGGGAACGAAGGTCTTTACTGTTCCTCAAAAGGAAATAATGCTCTAACATACGGGATCTCCACCCACTTCCCCATCGTTCC